CACACACACACACACACACACAGCATTATCTGCATGCTGACCCAATCATAGCTGGTCAGGTTTTATCAAAGAAGAGCAGGAGGTCTGTCCCAGCATCGATTCATCGACTAATCTATTCAATCTCCTCACGAGGCTCAGCCCAATGCAGCACCCTGCGTGTGTGTGTGCGTGTGTGTGTGTGTGTGTGAGTGTGTGAGTGTGTGAGTGTGTTGGACTGACAGTATGTGAGTTCAGATAAGCACTTCATCTCAAAGTCACCTTGCTAACAAAGGATGGCGCTCTCTAACCTGTGATGGATGTCACCTGTGTTTATCTGAGGACAGACCACCCCCCCTCCCCGACCACCACGAAGTCTCACCGTCCAGCCTCGAAGGTGAAGCGGGTGGCGTCGCGTCCGTAGCGCCGCAGCGAGCAGAGCGGCCAGGTGACCAGCTTGGTGCGAGGGTTGTGGATGTCCCACAGGTAGATGTTCTCGTGGGTGATCTGCATCATGCACTCGCCGTAGATGTCCAGGTTGGGGCAGGGGAGGAGGAAGACGTTGAAGCGCTCTGAGGAGACAGAGGACGGTCAGACTCCGCCCAAATGTTAAGTAAAATCTGTGTTCATGCTCAGGTCCTCACAGTAAACACCGGAGATTGCAGCTGGAGGATGAATAAAGTTAAAGTTAATCATTGTTTCACAACAGACGCAGCCTCTAAAGTTTTCATAACTGTGTGCAAAGAGCACTGCAAGGTTTATGAAATCTGACATAAAAATAAACAACAATAAACAATAATAGGTTCACAGTTGGAGGAGCTTTCAGTGTCACTTCCTGTTTTTAGTTTGAAATGTTTCACAGTGAACTGAAAACGTCTTTGTGCTGGGCTGGACTTTCATGTAATACCACGTCGTGCCACACGATGGTGCAGCGAGTCAACCGTGATTTAACGAGTCATTAAGAGCAGATTTACATCAGCAGCCTCGATCAAAGGAAAAGAACCCAAAAGAAACATCACGGGTAAAAATACCATACATTCAAAAACAGATCAACCCGCCCCCACCTGCTCCTGTCCCAGCATCCTCCGCTGTCACACCAACCCTCTGCACGTCCTCCTTCACTACATCCATGAACCTCCTCTGAGCTCTTCCTCTTCTCCTCCTGCCTGGCAGCTCCATCTTTATCCTCCACCCTCCCTCCTCTGCACACGCTCAGACCCTCTCAGCCTCTGACTCTCAGCTGTCCCTCTGATGGACTCATTTCTGATCCTGTCTCACTGCCATGAACATCTGCACATCTTCAGCTCGGACTGATAAAATGGTCATAGTGTGTGTGTGTGTGTGTGTGTGTGTGTGTGTGCTGTACCTGTGTGTTCACACTGCACTCCAGCAGCCAGCAGGTCTGGCTCGCCCATGCTGATGTCATTAAGTCGCATCCCCAAACACTCGATCGACAGCGTCTTGAACCAATCCTCAGCCTCCAGCTCTGAGAGAGAGAGAGAGCTGTCGGGGACTACAAACACGTACTGGCTTCACCTCACCGACTCCCCCTTAAAAGAATTTAACTCCTCACAAACAAACTCAACTCAAAAAGTTGGAACTCTCAAAATCACATAAATCTATATTTATTTATTTTATCCACAGTAGAACGCAGATTTTAAATGTTTAAACGTATGAGCTCCTCTTGAATTGGCACGCATCAAGTCTGAACATTTTTGGGAACTCTTAATGACCTTGTAGTACCATATCACCCTATTAGAGCACTTCGCTCTCGCTCTGCAGGCCTACTTGTTGTTCCTAGAGTATTTAAAAGTAGAATGGGAGGCAGAGCCTTCAGTTTTCAGGCCCCTCTTCTGTGGAACCAGCTTCCAGTTTGGATTCAGGAGACAGACACTATCTCTACTTTCAAGATTAGGCTTCAAACTTTCCTTTTTGCTAAAGCATATAGTTAGGGCTGGACCAGGTGACCCTGGATCCTCCCTTAGTTATGCTGCAATAGGCTGCCGGGGATTCCCATGATGCATTGGGCACTGCTCTTCCTCATATGTTCATACATTACACATCATTATACATCACCATGAACTCTTCCATTGTGCCTTCTCTATCCCCCCCCAAACAGGTTGAGGCAGACATGTTACCTGATTCACAGGTGAAGGTGCGTGAGGTGTCGTCTGTGAACACAATGGCCACCGCCTGTCGCTTGGTGTCACGTGGCAGTCGTGTGATGTTCTTCACATTGCTGATCTCTGTCACCTAAACAGCAAGTTGGAGATAAAGTGGAAAACAGGGCTGATTAAACACCACGCAGAGACACTGTGACCTCTAACGTCGACCGGGAGCCGAGGCGCCACCTGCTGGCAGGGCCTGTCAGGCTACATATCACTGGCTAATTAGGTGATCAGTCTAATTTAATCCAGGTCAGGTTTTCTACTTCGTGTTTATATGTCAGTCAGTCTGGGAAACTGCTAAAACTTTGAATGTGTCCCCAAGTGCAGTCACAAAAACCATCAAGTGCTACGATGAAACTGTCTGACATGAGGACGCCCCAGGATAGGAAGAGCCAGAGTCCCTCTGCTGCTGAGGATGCATTCATCCGAGTCGCCAGCCTCAGAAATCACACGTTAACAGCAGCTCAGATCAGAGCCCAGATGGATGCCACACAGAGCTCCAGCAGCAGACACATCTCTACATGTTCAGAGGAGACTGTGTGAATCAGGCCTTTATGGTCAAACAGCTGCTGAGAAACCACGACTGAGGAAAAGCAACAAGAAGAGATTTGTTTGATCTGAGAAACACAAGGATGGACATTAGACCATCTGTGCTTTGGTCTCAAGAGTCCACATCTGAGATCTTTGGTTCCACTCGCCGTGTCTTTGTGCAGAAAAGGTGAACGATGGTCTCTACATGCATGGTTCCCACTGTGAAGCATGGAGGAGGAGGTGTGATGGTGTGGGGGGCTTTGCTGGTGACACTTTTGGGGATTTATTCAAAACTGAAGGCAGACTGACCCAGCATGGCCACCACAGCATCCTGCAGCGACACGCCAGGACAGCACAATGACCCCAAACACACCTCCAGCCTGTGTGAGAGCTGTTTGACCAAGAAGGAGAGCGATGGAGGCCTGGCCTCCACAGTCACCTGACCTGAACCCAGTGGAGATGGTTTGGGATGAGATGGAGCGCAGAGTGAAGGCAAAGGACCAACAAGTGCTCAGCATCTCTGAACTCCTTCAAGACTGTTGGAAACCATTTCAGGAGACGACCTCATGAAGCTCATGGAGAGAAGGCCAAGACTGAGCGAAGCAGGAATCAAAGCAGAGGGCGGATATTACGAAGAATCTAAAATAGAAAACGTGTTTTGAGTTATTTCACACTGATTTGTTTACTACATGATTCCACGTGTGTTCATTCATAGTGTTGATGCCTTCAGTCAGAATCTACAATGTAAACAGTCATGAAAATAAAGAAAAACCATTAAACGAGAAGGTGTGTCCACACCTTAGAGTGGGAGTGTACATCAAAGCTGAGCCAAATATTCCTCAAAGTGTCTGATTCTTTGCAGCTGGAGTCGTCCCGTCCACCTCAACATCTCAGCTGTGATTGGATTACAGTCGATTCTTTAGAGCTTTGTGAGAAAGAACAAAGAGCAACCGCAAGTTCACAAGCTGAAGGATGCTCAGTGAAGGAGTGTGAAGGCAGCCAGGACGGTCATCTGAAGGAGAAGTAATGCTGCTGATCATGATGAAGAACGAAAGCTTGCTGAGTTTTAAAGAGAAGAAGAAGAAACGGCCGCCTCACGCTGAGCTCTGTACAGGCTTTCATCTCTGTCAGTAAGTGTGTCAGCTCTACAGAGCACACCTGAGCCACACACACACACACACACACACACACACACACACACACACACACACACACTTACTTTAGGACATGCTCTGATGTAAGCAGCCTTCTCGTCGGGGTATTTCTCCAGACGACGAGGTCCTTTGCTGGAAGATTTCTTGAACACCAGCCAGCAACGCCGATAGATCTGAAGCACACACACACACACACACACACACACACACACACACACACACACACACACACACACACACAATGACATTCATTTTATATCATCATAACCTCATATCAACATAATGTAGATTCTTGCCCCTGGTGGAGCATAAAGTCAGTGCAGGACGTGGATACAGAGCGAAGCTTCGTCTCGTGTTCTCTCTGCAAATCTCTGTCCTCAGGGGCGGATCTACTGTGGTGGCATCGGGTGGCATGTTCAATATGCATATAAGTATTAACACTTTGAGCCTAGTTATAATTACCATTGAAGTTAATTAAAATAATTAAATTTAAAACTCAACATAGTGCATTACCTACCTCCCCCCCACACCCGCATTAAAAAATGGTTCAGCCCATTGTGTTGAAACAGCTTTAGTTCTTGTTGTCAGTAGCAACTGACACCATGTTCAACACAGCTGGTTGGTTGCTACACTCTGGAATGATGGTGAGTGTCGTTAATAAATCGTGAAAATTAGGTTTAAATTTCTGGTGAAAACTTTGTGCAGGAACTACAGTAACAGTAACAAGTCTAACTAACTGATCCACCTCATGTTGTGTAGCTTTTACACTTGGGCCTATTTATTTTACAGGCTCTACAATACATAAAATCAAAATTCACATGTTGTAATGTAACTGTAATTATTTGGGCTAAAGCCAGGAGCTGGTCTTTAATGAACAAGCGTGGAGCTCCTCACATATGTGACCTCTAAAAGGAAACCTGAGTGAGATTAGCTCTGATATAAACTCTCAGCATCACCCAGACGTGGATCCATAACAATGATTTGGTCATGTTGTGTAATCAAGTTCAGCAGATGCTGTTTTCCAAAGCAGGTAGTAATTCATTCTTGTCTGAGGAGAGACGATTGCTGATGGACTGAACTTCAACCCAAGCAGCAACATCCAGGGAAAGAATGAAGATGAGCTGCAATTCATCTAACGTCCAGCAGAGGCAGCAGTGAGTCAGTCCCCATAGACTCCCATGTTAAAACTTTACGGCAGAAATAAACATGTTTGCAGCCTGATACACAAACTGTTTGCTATCTGTGGATCCTTTCTCTTCCATAACACCTGCATAGGGAGGATGTTTCTAAAACTCACCTGTTTAAATTGTATTAAGGATTAAAGGGGCGTGGCCTATTTGACTGACAGGTGGATGGTTTCTTAAAGCTAGATGTAACAAACTGATACAAAATAAAAGGCATATATGGAAATTAAAATGTAATTAGTTTTTCAAACAAATTTGTCAGATGCTTCAATAAACTCTCCAGTTTCAAGGTTCAGGCTTTAGAGGGTTAACCTCCAGCTGCGTGGAGAGCATTAAGCCCGACTTTGACCCCGAGTACACGCTGGCCTTTAGTCTTTGACTCTGGCGACACTTTCACAGCGAGGAGACGTTTTCTGATGCCTGAAGAAACCAGACACGATAGGCTGATCAGAGCGGCTCTCGCCTCAGAGGAGGACAGTTAAGCTCATGTTGTCCTCCAGTGAGCACTTCAGGGTCGGGCTGGGCTGTTTCTCAGCACAGAAACTGGGAGATTTTACAGTGTTACTGGCAGTTCTTCTCCCACCATGGGTATGCCAAACAGGCTAAAAAATAATAACTAAAACTAATAGTGATGGTAATAATTACAGCCCAAACAGATCCTTGGAGACCTGATGAGACAAACAAGGAGAAATATCGGGTGGATTAAGTCAGCTTATATCATTTAAATGCTTTGAAACTGTCAACAAAATAAGAACTGAAAGAATCAAATGAACAGAAAACCTGCTGAACTACTAAACGTGTAGTTTTTGATAAGTTTTCAACATTTCTCCACTTTAGTTTCTGTTTTTACTCAATGAACATCTGCAGCGCTTTCATGGCCACCATCTGTACGGATCCTCCCTCCCCATCATTCGTCAGCCTCCTCCTCTTCATCTCTCCCTTCACTGTCCTCTGAAGTAATCAGGTCTCAGCAGACGGAGCTGTGAGGAGTGCTAAGTGAAGCTAAAGAGAGGAGACGGAGGAGGGAGATGGGAGGAAGGGGAAGATAGGAGAGCTAATTGCTTCCTTCTTGTAGCCTCAAAGATGAAACGAGTGCGGAGCTGTTGGGAGTTGCTGTAATTCTCAGAGGGGCTCGCTCAGATGAAAGCACGAGGAGATGATGATGTTATGCAGCCGAGGTGTTAGCGTAACCTTGAAATGCTGCGTTGGCACACTTTGAATGGATCCACGGCTGCTCTGTTTTTCTCTCAAATCACACATTTGTCCTTTGCTTGAGCTGCAGCGGCTGCAGACCGAAACCACACGATGCAGAGGCCCGGTTTCAACAGCTCTGCCAGAAAATGGGTGTGCTGCATGACAGCCGGCTGCTTTAGCAGCAGATCAGAGTTGAAATGATCGTATCCGCTCAAGATAGTTTGTGAAGTCGCTTCCTAGGAGCAAAGTGACCGAACCGGATCCTGTGACGGACTCACAAGTCAGAGTCACGTGACCCACAAACGCGTTTAAGCCACTGCAGGGTTTTTGGTGACCATCTTCAGAGAGCTCGGCTATCACAGACTGCACAGACACACAGAGCTGCTAATAAGTGCTCAGTCACATCCAGGTCTGCAGTGTGCATTACATGAAGTGCACGCTTTTCAGACCAAAAACTACTGTAAGCATCTAAAGCGCATTTTAAGATGAAGCGTCAGGACTGCAGCTGTTTGACACACACACAGTAATAACTTCACTGTGGTGACTTCCAGTTATTAAAGCCTCATAAATGAAATATCGAGCAGAGGAATCAGGAGGAAATAATGGAGCAAAAATAATAACATTATTAAACGTTAGACGCTGTGCTCGAACACTGCAGAGGACGTTTGGCTGTGTTCACAGTGCAAACCTCAGTGCAGCACGACTGTGACTGTGCACGAGTAACATCAGCATTCAGCTAGAAGCTCAGATGAACCAGGTTTGTGGTCCTGCAGCTCAGGAGCCGGTCATCTACTAAGTCGGTGGTTCGATCCCTGGCTGCTCCTGTCTGCGTGTCAGGTACCCTTGGGCAAGACACTAACCCCAGGTTGGTCTGCAGTGCACTTGTCCCTGACGATAGCAAGAAGCTCCTGTATGAATGTGTGAACGAGGTGTTTGCATAAAGAGCTGTGAGTGCTGAGCTGTGAGTGCAGCCTGTGCAATCCAGCGTTAGCACAACAAAGTCAGTAACGTCATGGAAAAACAGTTTCAGATGCAGGTTTCAGTCATGAACAATGACGAAACACCATCTGACACGCAGAGACACACCGGGCGCGGCGTTTCCCTGGGATCGCAGCGTTTAAGGAGGACGTGGACGTCCGTGTGCAACCTGAATCAGCTCGATGCTGCCGGCTTTGTGAAAACTACAAAGATGGTGTGAAAGCGATCAGCTGGACTGGTGTGGTTCTGGATGGATTTAGTTGGCCTGGAGAGGCGACAGCTGCTGAGTAACAGCAAGGATTTAAGACAAAAACAAATAAAGTAATGTGAAAGATGAATTATGGTCTGCAAAGAAGGTGAGTTGTTTAAACCTATGAACACATTATGAACAATGCTGGGCATCCTCTGCACACGGCCATAAACAACCAGAAGAGTCTGTTCAGTGACAGGTTGCTTCTCCCAAAGACAAGAACTAACAGACTTAAAAACTCCTTTGTCCCACACGCCATCAGACTGTTTAATTCCTCTCTGGAGGGGAGAGGGAGGGGAGACAGGGGGACAAAGGAGGGGGGAACAACTAAGCTGTAGTGCCTCTTCACCTCACTGTGCAATACTTTTTGTAAATAGTCAACAGTGCAATAGACTCAATACTTGAAATGTGCAATTCACTTGTATTTTTATTTTTTATTCCTATTTATTCTATTTATCCCCTTTGTATATTTTATTTATATTTGTCTCTGTATTTATATATGTGTGTGTGTATATATATATATATAACAATTCTGTAACTGTAACTTCGGTCGTTGCTGTGCTTTTTTTGGAAGTCGAATTTCCCAGAGGAACCCACCCGAGGGATTAATAAAGTTCTATCGTATCGTATCGAACACTGCGTCACGCATGGTGGAGGCAGCGTGACGGTGTGGGGCTGTGGTTAGAATAATAAAGAGGGAGGACTGCTTCCTATCAAATCAATAGTTCGATGTTTGAAACACGGACACAGGCGGGCGCTCCCACAGGACAATGACCCCAAAGCCCCGACATCAAGCCTACGCTGAAACTTCGTGGACACTTAAAGCTGTTTCTATGCCAGAAAACCAACTAATTTAAATAAAGTTGACCAGTTGTGCCAAGAAGCTCAAATATCCAGAATTATGCCAAACACTTGTTGACGGCTTCTAAAAGTGTCTGACTGAGGCGCTAACAGACATTTAAGGGACCTATTAGTGCAGGTGTAGAAACACTGCAGGTGGATTAGAGAAAATCCAAAATGATTTCAAACCTGTGCAAATCATCCAACCCCATGCTGGACAGTCCTTCCTGGAAACGGAAGAGTTTAAGGAAATCATTAAAAGCCCCAAATGAGCCTGAAATTCATGCCCACGATGAGTGGATGGAAACACAGCATGTTTGTCCAGTGTGCCTCAGACATGCAGGAACCGTCTCTCGTGTCCACCAGGGGGCGACTCTTCTTCTAGAAGTCACACATGATAACGTCCATTCTGGAAATTATGGCACTAACAGGATCACAAATGGCTGATGCTTCAGGACCGGTCTGAGTGTGAGGCGTCCCTCGGTTTCTCAGGCAGACACGACCCTCGCTTCAGGTTTCGTTACACACTCTGTAAATCAATCCCTTGATGAAGGAAACCTGCCTCAGTTTAATGGACATAACTCCGAGGAAGCCCTGAGCGCTTCCTTCTTCTGATGTTACCTGTGACAGAGGGACTTGGAGGTATAAGGCTTTAAAAACAAACTCAGACGTTCTAGAAATCAATACGAACCAATGACATTTTGTCCCTGCGTTTAAAGGTGGCACA